CCTGTATCTCTGTATCCCCTTCCTCCCCCTACTCTCTTCATTCTTTCTACGTCTGCTGTAATTTTCTCTCACTTTATTTCTACAAGATTTAGCCGTTTTCTTTCCCTCTATCCTTCCGTCTACTTGTCGGTCTTCCCTCCCTCTCCCGTCCTCTCCACTTTGTCATTTCTCTCTTTAAGTCTACGAGGATTCCCCCCTCTCCCCCTTCTTCTCCTCCTCCTTCTCTGCCTATCCTACCTACCATCCCCCTGTTTCCTCTTCCCCCTCTCCCCCTTCTTCCTATCCTCCCCAATCCCCCTGTTTCCTCTACCCCTCTCCCTTCTTCCTACCCCCACCCCCCGTTCCCTACTTTTCCACATTCTGTCTCCAAGTCTTCTCTCTCTTCTCATCCCCTCCTTCCTCCTCCTACCCTCACTATATCTCAACTCCCCCCCCCCCCTTCCGTTCCTTCTACTTCCCTATCAAGGCTGTCTCTACCCCCCCCCCCCACCCACCCACTTACATCCTCCGCCACCGACAGGATTTTCCCCTCATCCTCTTCTCCCTTTCTCCCTCATACCCTCCCTCCGATCTGCCTACCCCCTCCCCCTCCTGGTTCCCCGAGATCTATGCTATTCCCTCCTTTTCTCTCCCCTCCTCTTACACCCCCCCCCTCCACCCTCCCTCCTCACGCCCATTTTTCTTCTATTCACGCCCACGCCCACGCTCGTTTCCCTGTACTTCCGGTCATCATTGGGATTAGATTTTCTATGAGGTTTTGTAAATATGTTTTCTTGCGCTTTTTGGCGGGAGTTTCTTGGTTGTATTTTCTATTTCGCTATTTTAGATTTTCAAGATTTGTTTTTTCCTAATTGTTTTTCAAAACATATCTGTCTGAACGTTGTTCCCTCTCTTTTCCTGCGTGTATGTGTATGTGTGTGTACGTGTGTATGTATGCTCATGCGCGTGTGTATGTATGTGCGTGTTCGTGTGTTCGCTCATACATTATTCGCATGTATATCTCCCCGTGCGTCAGCTTATAAGAACACATACATGTCAGCAAGTGTACCCAGGTATATCAGCGAAAACAAATATCTCAGCAGTCGACTGAAACTGACACGCCCATTAGCATAAGCGCCCGAGTGAAGGGGTGTCTAGTATAAACTCGAGTCAGCTGATCATCTCCATGTGTACCGCTGACGTCAGGAGAGCCGTCGGTGTCAGGCCCGATGGAGGTTCGCCCAGTTTAGTTCGGCGCTGACATGCCCATATATATGACGGTGAGGCTGATTTTTTATTATAAATCTTATCTTTTTATCTATATCTTTTTTATACGCGATGGTGAAGGTATGCTGATGTGTTTGAGTTTTTTGTTGTTATTTTCAGGAGAGGATGGGTGTATATTATCGTTATACTTTCTAAGGGTTGTGGTTATATATCACTCTACAGGGAAATGGTTCAGTCCATTTTCTAGAGGAAATGAATGTCTCCATCTGAAATAATGTCGTTTGAGAAAAATGGTAGACAGAATTTCCACAGAAAAGAAACATAAAACGAGGATTTTTTTTTTAAATCTGATAATTTCGTCCAACTCGGTAACGGATTCGCCGATAATGAAAGGCACACCCTATTGGCAATTAACTGAAGAAACTCCAGGTGTCGCCATTCACCCCCGTAATCTTCCCTCGTCATGGCGAAGAGTGAATAGAGAAGAGGCGGGTCTTCCGTTTCATCAATGGCGCGAGATCGGTTACAGATTAGAATTCATTTCCGATCACGTTCGGGAGAATATGGCTACCATTCTGCAAAAGCCTCGTGGAAAAGATGACGCGGCAGATAATTTTAAAGAATCGATTTATCTTGATAGAAGGGTGAGGCAGCGGCGAAGTCCTTGAGGAAAACGGGTAGCGGTGCTCACGTTCGATTTAAAATAGTCTTCGCTAACAATCGCCGAGAAAACGGGAAATTCTGTTCACCTCGAAGAAAATGGGAAGTGCAGAGGATCACGGAGACAAATGAAAATCGCCGGGTTAAATCAGACAATAGAGGAAACGCCAAAGTTGCCGATTACAGGAAACATCATCCATATTGAGGAAAGCGGCGTATCTATATTGAATGAGGCGAATGTCAGAGGATCACTGTTCGGCTCGAGGTAACTGGGAAGTTTAGGCAAAATACGAGGTTTTGTTTACGTCAAAGAAAACGGGAACCGACGTTCATCATTGCGGGATAAGGAAACTCTGTTCACTTCAGAGAAAATAGCAAGCTCTTATTCTAAAATAAGTTAATAAATAAATAAATAAATAAAAGGAAGAAGAGGAAAATGGGAAACTTGTTAAAGAAAACGATAGGCAGCTAGATATCCGGAAGTCTATTGGAAACTTAGCGAAGCGAGCCAATCTTCGCTATCTCTTTGTTTCACATCGTATTTTGCGAAGAAAGGACGTGAAGGAAGGGTATCATTATTTAATCTTCGGAAGGACCCGTGCTTTGTCGAGCCGAAGCGAGGAGGGAGCTTGTA